CTTGAGCTCACTTTGTAGCCCAGGCTGGCCTGGAACACAGTGATTTTCCTGCCTCAGCCTCCTGAGTGCTGGGATTACAGGCATGCACCACCATACCCAGCAAATTTAGATGTTTGAATTCAGTTTGATCTCAAGTCTTCTCTAACTCTTGTCATCCATAATAGATAATATATGTGTATTTAAATAATCTTATTCTTTACTATTTTCCCTCATTAAACATCTTTTCTCACTTTTAAACTGTAGGATACTAAAATATGAAGACATAATGAAAAGTGTACCTTGGATCAATAATTTTCAAGAAAGTGTGATATTTGTGTCCCCCAGAAGATATCTGGCCATGGATACAGTTTTGGTTATCACAGCTAGTGTGGAATGGGTGACTGTTACAGGTGCCTAGTGAGTAGAGGTCATACTCACTGTAGGATATTAGACGTAGTACAATGCACAAGACAGTCCCCTATAATAAAGGATTCTCTGACTCAAAATGTCAATAGTTTCAAGGTTGAGAAATACTGCTCTAGGCCAGCACATCCTGTAAAATATACACAATGAATTTCATTCCTGGCATTTTTCTCTATGGTAGAAAATTAGAGATGATCCTTAACTATTTGCAGCTCTATTCTGATTACTATCTAGTCATCCTATTGCTGATGTAACAATCTTCTGCCATTAAAAGCATTATTAGGCAAATAGCTGACATTAGACAAATGAGACTGACAGCAATTTATTTAGTCACACATACTCACAACCTAAGGGAAGATGTCACACATCACACAAGGCCACAGAGGCTGCACTCAGGAACAGAGAAAACAAGGGGTTGTGAGAGGCAGGCTTTGAAAGAAAATTAAATGTTCCCTGGTTCCCAGAGGAAGACATGACTAGCTTGTCTGAATAATTATATGGGCTGCTGGGGTAGTGAAAACAATTAGGTTAAAGACTAGGAGGATGTAACTGGCTTAGCACATAGGGGAACTAGGAGGAAAGAAAGCCTTTTCCATTGAAGAGGCACATCTGGCGAAAACAGGGTTCTCACAGGTTAGGCCCCTAAAGGCTTGGCACACATGTCAAGGCAGCACACAGCACTTTAGCTTTTACCATATAATAAGGCCCTCATCATATCTCTACATAACCCACTCGATCCTAAAAGCCTTATACAACATAAGATCGCAACATGTAAAGAAACTAAGATCAGTCAACACTAAATCCCTATTACTTAAAAAACTCATCTGTGGAGTTTACAGTTTCCCCATAATGTGTCAAACAGTATAAATGCTCTTTCATTACACAACAGGTCTTCAAGGAAAGCTCAAAAAAGATATCTCACATTTAACAACAGCAATCCATTCCTAAAAACCACACCATTTTAATACGTTATAAACTATATGCCTCTTTTTTCTTCATTGAATTATTATCCATTATGTGTTAATTCTAACCCTTCAAGTAGCTTTACATTTTCCTTCAATATAGGCTACACAATGGATCAGTGCACTGGCGATATGTTTGGTGGTAGTACTTTCATTGTTTCTTACTAATTTCATTTATCTCACTTGCTTTGAAACTTTTTCCACACTTTCCTTTAATTTTTCAACTTTTCTTTTCAGTACTGGAGATTGAACCCCAGTCCTTTGTACTGAGCTACATCCCTAATCCACCTTTGATCTTTTATTTTTGAGACAGGGTCACACTAAGTTGCTAAATTGTCCAGGCTATGCTCAAATTTGTGATCCTGCTACCCTAGCCTCTCAAAGAGTGCTGGGATTACGAATATGCACCACCATACCTGGCCTTTTTCCAACATTTGAGGAACTCTATACTAGACCAAAAAAAAGAAAGCTAAACTACAGAAAAGCACTTCCAATGAGAACATAGCTCAACTTTACTACAATGCTCTGATGAATCTTCTATCACCAGCAGCACCAAATACATATCCTTATTATGATACATATAGTTCTGATGGTCTAGCAATTGTATTACGGAATATAACTAGATTCTTCCTAACACTGTTTTTGTTTTAAAAATACTGCATTCAACTACATGATCCACTTTATTATAAAGTTCTAAAAATAAGCAAAATTAATTTATGGCATTCAAAGTCAAGACATTAATTACATTTGAGATGGGTAAGTAAGGATGACTGAAGGGGGAAATACATGAGGTACTAGTAATATTCTTTTCTTGACCTGGAAGTACAGCTGCACTATTTAACTTAAGGAAATTCATTCAGTTACATTCTTTTCTATTTTTGTCTCTTTAGATAGGGTTTCACTAATGCAGTTCAGGCTGGTCTTGAGCTCAATTTGTAGCCCACACTGGTCAACAACAATCCTCCTGGCTCAGCCTCCAGAGTGTTGGGATACCAACATACACCACCACAGCCAACTATACAGCTATACTCTCAAGATTCATAAACTTTTCTGTATATAGCATATACCCCAGCGAAACACTGAAAACATTTTGTTTTAAATGAGATGCTGTGTAATGAGTACACATATTTTTTTCTACATAAAACTAGATCAAAAGTCACTGTACTAAGAGCTGCTTGTAAGTATGGCTTAGTGGTAGACCATTTGTCTTTCAGAATGTATGAGGCCCTGGGTTTGATTCTCTCTCCCCTCAATAAATCACTGTATTGACAGAAATATATTTTTCTGGAATTAAGTACTAAAATAAAGTTCTTCCATTAGAATATTCTGACAGAGAGACCTTCTGCAAGAATGTCTATATTCGTCTCAAGGCATTTCACTTTTGCAGAAGAAAGGAAAGATTATCAATGAGCTATCTATCCCTAATCTCAGGAATGGCAAAACTGGAACAGGCTCTTTTATATAGTTTGGATAAAATGGAAAGTTCAGGGAAACTAACAAATATGCACACATCATCTAGAGATTGACAATATTTAAAAAAATAAAAACCACCATTAACTTACATCAGCCATGGTTTTAGAACCCCAAGAACTAGTCAGTCTTCTTTAATATTTCTTTGTTGGAGAACTGCAGAGTTGATAAACCTGAGCTGAAAAAGAAAAAAAACAGCCATGATTCCAAGTACCACGCAGCAGGTAAATAAATAAATAGAAGGCTACGAAGCTAGATTACTTAAGAGTACTCCAAACGACTTATATTGACATGAGCATTTTTTTTCTTTTTCATTTCTTTTTCCAAACTAGTCCCCATTACTATATGCACACTTATCCTATACTCTTATAAAACTGAAGTGGAGTATGGGGGTGGGGGGAACCCATGCTCTGGAGAAATGCAAGTTGGCCCTGATGGACTTGATATAGAAGCCCCAGATACCTCTATATGAGCATTTCTGACCACGTTTCCATTTAGCAATGTTGCTCAAGTGCTGAAACTGAACCAGAGTTTTTCTAAAGACAACAACTAAAAAATCATACAGATTGGCCCTGGCACCTACTTCTATGATAAGGCCACTCTGCCCTTCTCTTGCTAGGACAACTCCCCACTCCAATTTCCCAATCAGAACATTTCAGACCATTTTCAGACACCCTTTACAACTCCCTTTTTGAGTGTTCAACCGGGGAGGTGTGGATTCACAATCACTGAATTGAGCCAATAACATTCACTGAAAATCCTTATGTGGCTCTCTGCTCCTGCAAGTCCGACGATAGTTGATCTTCTTGTGCAACCAGCAGTGATCCAGACAAGATGGTAAAGGTCGGAGTGAACGGATCCATACTGGATGCCTGGTCACCAGGGCTGCTTTTAACTCTGGCAAGGTGGATGCTGTGGCCACCAGTGACCCTTTTACTGACCTCAGCTACATGGTCTACATGTTCCAATATGATTCCACCCATGGCAAGTTCCATGGCACTGTCAAAGCTGAGAACGGGAAGCTTGTCATCAACAGAAAGGCCATCACCATCTTCCAAGAGCAAGATCCTGCCAACATCAAGTGGGGTGATGCTGGTGCTGAGTACGTGGCGGAGTCCACTGGTGTCTCCACTACCATGCAGAAGGCTGGGGCTCACCTGAAGGGTGGTGCCAAAAGAGTCATCATCTCTGCCCCTTCTGCCGATGCCCCCATGTTTGTGATGGGTGTGAATCACAAGAAGTACAATTCCCTCAAGATTGTCAGCAACACTTCCTGTACCACCAACTGCTTAGCCCCACTGGCCAAGGTCATCCATGACAACTCATGACAACAATGCACACCATCACTACCACCCAGAAGACTGTGGACGGCCCCTCTGGGAAGCTGTGGCGTGATGGCCGTGGGGCTGCCCAGAACATCATCCCTGCATCCACTGGCACTGCCAAGGCTGTGGGCAAGGTCATCCTGGAGCTGAATGGGAAGCTCACAGGCATGGCCTTCCATGTGCCCACTCCCATTGTGTCAGTGGTGGATCTGACTTGCTGCCTGGAGAAAGCAGCTAAATACGACATCAAGAAGGTGGTGAAGCAGGCCTCCGATGGTCCTCTCAAAGGCATCCTGGGCTACACCGAGGACCAGGTTGTATCTTGCAACTTCAACAGTGACACCCACTCTTCCACCTTTGATGCTGGGGCTGGCATCACCCTCAATGATCACTTTGTGAAGCTCATTTCCTGGTATGACAATGAGTTCGGCTACAGCAACAGGATGGTGAACCTCATGGTCCACATGGCCTCCAAGGAGTAAGGAGCCCCGCCCCCACAGCACAGCAAGACCAGAGGGATGGAGAGGCCATGCTGTAGAAGTCACTGCCTTACTCAGCTGCCATATTGAGAATCTCCCCCTCACAGCTTCCATCCCAGGCCCCCTAGAAGGGGATGGGCCTTGGGATTCCTGGCTCACTGCCCTTGCACACCATCAATAAAGCCCCATTGTACCTAGGGGAAAAAAAAAGAAAAAAAAGAAAGAAAATCCTTATGTGACCAGTGCTTTTTACACTTGTCAACTGAAAGCTCCAGTTTTCTTATATGGTACAGTTCTACCCTCTCAACACACGGATGCTCAGGATTCAAATCACACAGAGGCTGACTTCTTTTGTTTTGAATTTACAATTCTCTCACTAAAAAGCTAGTTCTCCTTCAACTTTGGTCCTGGGCTCTGGAGGCAGAATTTTTACCTTACTGAGAGAACCCTAAATGTGGGCAGTTCTATTAAAAAGAGAAATGACCAATAACTTTTTGAAAATACCAAGCCTCAAAAGATGACAAAAACAGTGCTTTTCACCAATCATCCCTCCACAAAAATGTCACTTTAAACAACTGTCTAAATTGAAAATACATGTATCTTCACAACAGCTAAAGAAATCAGAGAGACCATAGTACCTGATTATATCATAATAATAAGAAAGAACATATTGAAAAATGTAAGAAGGATAGTTTTACAGAACCTGTTCTACCCTTTGCCCAATGCCAAGCAGCAGAGAAAAGAGACAGCTGTTGTCTAGGTGGAGGAAACAGAACAAAGTAAGCATGGAAGTTTGTCTTGGTCCCCAACACTAGGCCCCCCCCCCAGCACTTGTCAGACCCTCATGGCCCCAGACTGTAGTACAGTAGCCCACAGCCCCAGGTTTCAGGATTGCATAGTAAAGTTGATCCTTAATCTGCATCAGCACCAGGCCAGTGTTAGCACTGCTGGCCTCTGCAGCACATGCAGACTTCAGCAGCATGTAGGACACAGCAGCTCCTGGATTCTTCCATAATCATATGGGAAATGTAAATTCAAACCACAATGATGTTGTCATTTCATATATGCTAGAATAGCTATTAGCAAAAAGACAACAGACAACAAATGTTAGAAAGGATATGCAGAAGAAAAAATTCATGGGCATATAAGCAGGAATAGCCATTATGGGACTCTATGGAGATATAAATAGAAGTTAAAAATAAAAGTACTTCATGAACCAGCAACTATATACATGCATAAGTACTACACACACACACACACACACACACACACACACACACATTTACATTAATTTGATAACAAGGACTCACCATATAGCGCAAACCCCTGGATTCAAGCAATCTTTGATCAGCCTCCCTAATGGCTGGGATTATAGGTACATACCACTGTGCCTAGCTCATGGGTATATATTTAAAAGAAAAAAAAATAGTATATTGAAGAGATAGCTGCATCCCATGTTTATTGTAGTATTATTCACATAAGTCAAGATATGAAATGAGCCGGGGAGGTGGCTCAGTGGAATAAGCACTTCCCTGGCAAATGCAAGGGCCTGAGTTCAATCCCCGGTTCTGGAAAAAAAAGATATGAAATCAACTGAAGTGTCAACAGATGAATAGATTTAAAGGGGAATCTTTACAGTCTTAGGATGTTTACAAGGAAAGAACCCTGGCTCCCTGCTAAGTTGTTTAAACTTTCAAACTTCTCAAGTTGATACAAGGTATCAACCTACTCAGTATACTTACAAAGGTATGGCAAAAGTTGCTGATGTGTTTTACAGACGGAAAGCAGTCATATGTCAACTTTCTTTCTCATCTTCCTAACAAATGGGTCCATTTTGCTTCTGAATCAGTCTTTAGCTAGCGTGCCTATAAAGCTTGCCAACAGCTTTTGGGGTCTCTTGTCCCTCTAGTCTCATTTTGCATTTACTATCATCAAAATTAAAATTTTAAGCCAGGTATGATGGCACATACATATAATTCCAGCTCTTTGAAAATCAAAGGAGGAAGGATTGCAAGTTCAAGCCTAGCCTTGGCAATTTAATCAAGACCCTCTCTCTAAAGTAAAAAAAAAAAAAAAAAAAAAAAAGGCTTGGAATGTAGATCAGTGAAAGGGCTCTGAGTTCAATTATAAATATATCAATGAATCAGTCAAATTAGGACAAAAACTGTGAGGTGAACACAGCAGCACATGCCAGAGACTGGGGTACTGACCAGTCCAGAGTTTGAGGCCAACCTGGACAACAGAGCAAGACCCTGTCTAAATTAATTAATTAAAATAAGACCCAACTCTTTATAGTCTAAAATAATTTACTTTCATAAAGATCTCACAGCTTCACTATAATCTGGAGCTAACATATTATCACAAAAATTGGTATTTCTATTCTCTCCTGTGACAGATTATTAAGAAAAGGGTTATTTTTTAAGTATACATAAAAATGTGATTGGGTATACTGTTACAACTACTAATATACATTTTGCTGTCAGACTATAAGGGTAGAAAAATCTCATCTCTAATCGTTATTAACTCTGTAATCTTACATAGTCTTGCTTTTCTCCTATATAAAATGGTAATAATTAATTTCTACCTCAAAGAGTTATGAGGACTAAATATACTACATATAGAACACTTAAAGTAGCAAATAAACATTTAATAAGTCAGTTATAACACTTAAGATAAAAATACCACTACCCTTCCTCACAGAGAAAATTCTCTTTGGCTTTTCCCCCCTCTCCCAAAAACAGGGCTTCTAGCTGGGCATAGGGGCACCTGCCTATAATCCCAACACTCTGAGGGGCAGACGCTAGATGGTTTTGAGCTCAAGACACTAAGCCCAACTTAGCCAGATTGTGTCTCAAACCAAAAACATTAAAAAGGGCTGGGGATGTAGCTTACTGGGTAAGCTTTATGTTCAGTCTCCAGTACTGCAAGAAAAAAAAGCCTCCTCAGGCTTGCTTTTTCTTACAGAGTTAATTAACAAACTGTAAAACATCACTTTAATAGGTAGTTCTTCATTATCAGTAATTTACAAAACGATACATGAATGGATAAAGCAAATGTGGTAAAATAGAATTTTTAGATCTGTGTGATGCGGAAAAACATGGAATTACCATGTAATAATAACAAATCTACTGAACACACTATTACATGTCAAGCATTATCTATGTATTTTATTGTTTATTCTCATGTTTTGGTGCTGGCAATCAAACCCAGAGCAAAGCTAGGCAAGTGCCATACCACAGAGCTATACCCACAGCCCCAAGTTTTACAATATTCATTTTTTATAATAATCTTACATAGTAGATTCTACAATTATTCTCATTTTACACATGATAGAACTGTAGGATGAAGAGCTTACCCAACCCTCAGTGGCAGGTTTACTGCTTGAACTCTGGTGATTTGGCTCCATAACACACACTACTGTCACCATAATAAACTGCCTCCTCGAAGAACACATAAATATGTGGTCCTAAATCAACTCATGCTGTTGGAAAGTTTAAACCATTTTTCAAATTTTCACTGTCTTCCCTCCCTTGTAAGAGGTCCTTCCCTTGCTAACAATTTACAGACCTCTCCACTAAAAACCCTATCACATTAACCTTCCTAGCGCATCTCAAAAGCGTAAGTCCTTGTCACCAGTCATACCATTCCCTATCTCTTCCTGCTTTGAATTCAGGGCAGCAGAGAGCAAAGTCATCTAGACCATGAAACCATCTAGACTTTAATCTTCTCTCCAAATTACAAGTTAAAATATAACTGTAAAGTTAGCCTCTTTCCAGGTTTACCTGTAGACCATCCACAAGATTCCAAAGACACAGCTCACAGGAGAAATCTAATGCCTGTCAACTGCTCATGTAAACACCTACCGGAGAGGAGGATGTGTATAGAATCTACCTTCACTCCCCATCATTCACTGGGAAAAAAGGCTAAAACACCCGTTCACTGGACAGGTCTTTTCAGGTACTAAAGGCTAAGCTAAGCCAACTCAACACTAACTGAAACAAGCTTATAAAATGTGACAAAACTATATTCAATGATTCACAGACAGGAATGAAATGCTACATGAACGACTGGGCTACAATGAGCTAAAAGGAGGAAAAGAACTCTTTTGTAATGGGTTGAGTGTCAGCTAGAGGATTTTAAGAGGACCCACCTATCCACAACGAGTATCTGGAATGGCTGCTGTTTCTGAAATGTGACGGGGAGATGGCAGAAATAAACTGCAACGCTATCCTGAGTGTTATCACGAGAGTGGTTTAGGAAACCAAGAATTCCCAGTAGTACAATTAAAATACCAAAGCAAGTCTGGAGCATCATTGGTAAGAAATCTCTAATCTATGGAAGTAGTTATGACATTTAACATCTATGATATAACCTGCCAAGAAATAACGTTTTCTCTCAATTTTGCAGCTTTATCTGTCTCTTTTCTCTTAGCCTAATTAATAAAAGGGCTAGTGTTTCTCTTTTCGGTTCGTGATTTTCACTCTTCCATAGAAAAGGAAAGCAAATGTTTGCGTGCCTGAAAAATAAAAATTACATTTCAGGGAACAAAAAGGCAACTAATTTTGACTTTTTTTTTAACGAATGTAAGAACAATCATTGATTTCTCTTCCTAAGTATCAGCAAGATTGGAAAAGAGTGAAAACCCCAACAGGGCGGCCTCTCCTTGGTGCCTCGTCTACAAGATTCGCAACACACATCCCCGCTATCACAGTTGCTCCATCTTCCACACATACAGCCCGCTGGAATTAGGGTGCCGAGGGTAAAGCTGGCACTTCCCAGTATCCGGAAAAAAGGCCAGAGAACCGGAAGGCTGGACTGAAACCTGTGTCCCAGTTCCCTAAGTTCGTGGGCCGAGAGAGCGGCTAAGGTGCGCAGTCGCTCTCAGAATTGTGTCTTTTTGTTTGGGGGCTCTCGCTCTGAGGTTCATACATCTAACTCGGAGCCATTCCGGGCCTCTGGGCCTTGAAGCGGGCGAGCAGAGGCCGCAGGAGGGCACCCGGTGATCAGTGAGAGCCACAAATTCCAGTCCTTGCAAGCCGACTGACACACAAGTCCGCGCCGCCCCCGCGCCACCCCCGCGCCCATTTCCTCAATGCATAAGACCAACTCACCTCCCAAGCGGACAGCAGCAAGAAAGCCGGAAGGAAACCGCGCGGGGGCTCGTGGGAAATGTAGTCCACTACCGGGCCGGCTGCGAGGAGTGCGCAAGCGTGGATGTCAGAACGTGGGGACGACCCCCAGGCTCCGTTTTAGCGCGTGAGGCGGAGGTTGCAGATTTATTTTTTGTTTTGGGTTTTGTTTTTTTTTTTGTTTTTGTTTTGTTTTGTTTTTGTCTGATAATATGGTTTGAACATCGGACTTTTACACTGGCCTACATCCTCCATTCCTTATTTTTATTTTATTTTTTTTTTTGAGACAGGATCTCCCCAAGTAACCAAATCGCCCTGTAGGGCTCCAACTTGTGATGCTTCTGCCTCAGCCTCCAAGAGTGCTAGAATTGCAGGTCTGCGCCACCACGCTCCGCTGAGTTCGATTTTTATATCGTTTCTCTACTAAGGCTTAGAAAAAACTCATGCCACGAGCAGATGCTTAGTAACGAATGAGAGGGTTGAGCACACAGCACGTGCTAATATGTCTGTAATGTAATAATCCACTGATGATTCTTACCAAAATCAGTTATTACTATTGTAGCTATTTTGACTTGCCAATTCCACTATTACTTCTACATTTATGTGATGGCATCCTATGAAAGGTAGCTCTTACATCCTGAAATAAGCTACTAGTTTATTCAATGGTTTTACTGAACCCGTTACTGTTATTACATGTTTTGAATCTCAGATTGTACGAGATTTGTCTAGTAGGTGTTCCTTCAGACTGATTCTGTGACCTTTTAACATGTTGTAATCATTCTGTGAGCATGTATCTACTTTTTACCTCCACAAAATATTTCCAGGCCCTTCTCATATCTGTCCAGCCTGCCCTCCTACTCTATATGCTATTTCTACAAAGAGCCTTAGTCCTCGGATGTGGGTGCTATTTATCCGTATTGCTGCTGGGATGTCATTGCTTCTCTGTTATCTTTGTTAGGAAATTGTATGTCTAAGAAGTAGCAGCTTTGTAATTGCTGTAGATTATAACTAGAGTTATTTGTAAATATTGTTATACTTTTTTTTAAAAAAAGTTTACATCAATCTTATTTGTTTACATGTTTGTTTTCTTCTTTGTCCTGAGAGAATATGTCAGGTTGTCTTCAAAAAATCTTTGGGGTGCCAGGCATGGTGACATGCATTTGTAATCCCAGCACATGGGAGACTGAGGCAGGAGGATTGCTGTGAACTGGACTACAAAGGAAATTCAAGGCCAGTCTGAACTATAAAAGGAGAACCTGTCTCAAAAAGAAAAAAAAAAGTTTCAGGTTTATTTTCCCATTCTAGTGTGACAGAAATTCTTGTTTTTGCTTAAATTACATTTTAGGGTTACTTCTCTTCTTTGTTGATTTTTTTTTTTCTTGAGACTGGGTCTCAGTGTGATCCTCCTGCCTCAGACTCCCAGGTGCTGCTTGCAGGCACGGGCTACAACATACCGCTGTTTGATATTTATTTTAAAAATACTATCATGGTCTTGAAGATAAAAACATATAATAAGGTGTACTCAGAGAAGCATCATTTCTCCATATCGCTTACTAGAAGTCCATTGTTTTAGTCAGGGTTTTACTAGAGGAACAGATATAATATAAGATGTACCAGTCACAGAGTGGGATGAAGTATGTCAAGAGTGTCTGCATACCACAGACTGAAGGATTCAGTCCCAAGGTCTGAAGCTCCCTGCAGTGTTCCCTCTCTAACAGTTTCTACTGGTCCCTAATGGTCTTTAATGGTCAGCTGTTGGGTCTGCAATGGAAGACTGAAGAATCTGCTATGGGAAGCTAAAAGATCCAAGCTGGAGGCCGTAGAGTCTGCACTAGAAGTCAGGAGGTAAAGTTCAAGCTGACTGTGAAGACTGAAAAGTTCCTCAGAGGAAGTGGAATGCCGAATTCTTCCTCAACCCCTTTATGTCCCCTTTTTGTGCTGAGTTACTCTGGGGTGGGGCCCTCACAGCCCACAGTGTGGAACTGCCAAGTGATCCAGCCAAATTAACACAATGTATCGACCACTACAATCCACCCCTTGTCAACTTGGCAACTAGACATATTTCTTTAAGCCAGTCTCCAGATACAGAGATATGCATATAATTGTGTCTAACATTGTTAGAACTATACTGTCCTGTGTATGAACAGAAACACACTAATACCCTTAGCAAAATAGAAGGTGAATTTTCTTTGCTTGATGCTTATACTTAAACATTAACATAGGTTTAATAATCCTTAAGAACTGGTACTAAATCTTAAATCTATCCATATTATATTATAACATAACTATATATGAGAGAGAGGTGAAGTAGTACAATTATAATCCCCTTTTCTGTAGCTCATTATGGGGTTGTAGATGGTATTTAGAACTAGCCTCTTCTACTACCCATTCTGTACTCCCTTGGCCCTCAGCAAGAACCTCATCAGGTCTTGGTTCTTTCCCTGATGGAGTGACTCATACCTTCATTCCTGAAGGCTCTGGACCATTTGTCATTGTGCCTGTATTAGGTTGTTGTAGCTTCTCATTCACCTTAATAAAAAGGCATGGCAACACTAAGAGGTGCCCCAAGGGAGCTTATGCACTCCATGTATAGTCTTCCTTCTTTAACAAACTATTTTTATTCAAATCAGTGAGAGCTAAGGATGGTGAGTTCTCCTGTGCTCTGTCCGCACACATGCACAACTAGTGGTACATTTGCTGAAGCTGTGGACTTGACCAATGTTGAATGGCTCACATCTACCACTCTGAAGTTTTGTTGCCTTAAAAATCTATGCTTTAGGGCTGGGGAGATAGCTCAGTGGCACAGTGCCTGTCTGGCAAGTACAAGGCTATGGGTTCAATTCCCGGAACCAGATAAAAATAAAACATAAATCTGTGCTTTGCTTGTTTCTCCATAGCTAAGACAACTGCTGACCATTTTACTGTCTCAATAGTCTGACTTGTTGTACAATGAAGAGAAAACCAAAAATTATATATATATATGTATATATATATATATATATATATATATATATATGATAGTTAAAATAATTACACTACTAATTTCTCTTAGTTCACTGAAAAGTTTGTGCTAATACTGTTTGGACTATTAAATGCCAGTATCGTGTGTTCTGAGTAAGTAAATTAAGAATGTCAGTGCACAATGTATTAACTACTGTTACCCTCCTATCATCTTGTTTTGACTTTTTTTTACATTATTTGCCCACATGGAGAGTCCTATCCACATACCTCTTCCCCAAATATCCTTGTCACCAGTTTTCCAATCATATTTCTTCCAAGTTCCTGACCATTCGGCCAGACCATTGATACGGCCCATGAGTCAGTATACAGTCTCATATGTGGCCATTTCTTTCTCTAGGAGAAATGTACTACCAGATGCACTGCCCGAAGTTCTGCCCACTGTGATGATTTCCCTCCAGCACTGTCCTTCAGTGACATATGAGAAAGCGGCTATAATGCTGCAGCTGTCCATTTGCAGGTGGTGCCTGCCTAGCGTGCAGAGCCATCTGTATACCAGGCCCTAGTCTTCTCTTCCTCTAACAGCTGATTATATGGTATACCCCACAATGCCATAGGTGCATGCTGGGAAACAGAAGGCAATATAGCAGGTGTAGGAGTCCTAGGTATCTGGGCAACTTCTTCATGTAATTTACTTGTACCCTCTGGACCTACCCTGGCTCTATCATGAATATACCACTTTCATTTAATGATGAACTGTTGCTGAGCATGTCCAACCTTATGACTTGATAGATAAGATAATATCCAGGCCATGATAGGCAACTCAGGTCTCATGGAGACCTGGTGTCCCATAGTCAAGTGTTCAGTTTCCGCGAAGGCCCCATAGCAGGCCAAGAGCTGTTTCTCAAAAGGAGAGTAGTCGTCTACAGATGATGGCAGAGCCTTGCTCCAAAATCCTAAAGGCCTCTGCTGCAATTCACCTATGGGGGCCTGCCAGAGATTCCAAACAGCATCCCTATCTACCACTGACACTTCAAGTACCATTGGATCTGCTGGATCGAATGGTCCTAGAGGCAGAGCAGCCTGGACAACAGCCTGGACCTGTTGCCGGGCTTTTTCCTGTTCTGAGCCCCACTCAAAATTAGCAGCTTTGTGAGTCACTCGGTAAATGGGTCAGAGTAAGATACCTAAGTGAGGAATATGTTGTATCCAAAATCCAAATATGTCTACTAGGTGCTGTGCCTCCTTTTTGGTGATGGAGGGAGCCAGATGCAGCAACTTATCTTTTACCTTAGAAGGAATATCTCTACATGCTCCACACCACTGGACTCCTAGAAACTTCACTGAGGTAGAAGGATCTTGAATTTTTGTGAGATTTATTTCCCATCCTCTGGCTTTCAAATGCTATACTAACAAATCCAAGGTGGTTGCCACCTCCTGCTTACTAGGCCCAACCAGCATACCATCAACAATGTAATGGGCCAGTATGATATCCTGAGGAAGAGAAAAGTGATCAAGGTCCCTATGAACTAAGTTGTAATACAGGGCTAGAGACTTAATATACTCTTGTGGTGAGACGGTGAAGGTATACTGTTGGCCTTGCCAGCTGAAAGCAAATTGTTTCTAATGGTCCTTATGGGTAGTTATGGAGAAGAGGACATCTGCCAAATCAACAGCTGCATACCAACTACCAGGGGATGTATTAATTTGCTCAAGTAAGGAAACCACATCTGGTACTGCAGCTGCAATTGGAATCATCACTTGATTCAGTTTGCAGTAATCTACCACCATTCTCCAAGACCCATCTGTCTTCTGCACAGGCCAAATGGGAGACTTAAATGGAAATGTGGCAGGAACCACCACATTTGCATCCTGCAAGTCCTTGATGGTGGCGCTAATCTGTGCAATCCCTCCAGAAAGGTGATACTGCTTTTGGTTCACTATTTTACTAGGCACGGGCAACTCTAATGACTTCCATTTGGCCTTTCCAACCATAATAGCCCTCACATGGCAGGTTAGGGAACCAATGTGAGGATTCTGCAAAGCACTAAGTATAT